CGTAACAAGGCAACAGATGACGTACACACCCCTCATATGGTGAACCTAGGGCTCGATTCCTAATAGGCTAACAAGGTGCGCGCTTAGGTGCACCAAGCCGCTGGACGAGGTCAAAAACAAAAAAAAACTGAATTTACCGAAATAGTGAGATTTTATCTAGAATTACCCCCCCCCCCCGCCTCTCTTCTCTCTTTCACGATATTATGCTAAGGGGTGTGGGATGACGCGCCTTCTGCGCCTGAAACCTTAATCCGGCCCTGGGTTTATATCTGGGCTTTAGTACCCCCTGGAGTGAGGGATAAGCACGAGGATGCCTTTCATACGGCAGGGATGAACACGACAAAGGTGAGCACGATGGGATGATGGTGACTCCAGACTTCCAGGAAACACGAGAAAATCCATGCTTCAGCATTACTCTTCTCATACAACCACCTGATGCAAATGAGAGCCTGCATGCACTTATTTACGTCGCTGAAGAAGGGGACGAAAACGTTGAGGCGAGGATGCGCGTCCGAGTGGATGTCCGCCTATTTCTCACCCGTCGCACACCCTTCACTTACCCTCATTATTTGCTGTGCGAAGTGAAAGGGGAACTTTTATTCATTCTAAACGAAAGTTTTCGTGATTGGAGTGATTGTTGAAGTGTATTGCTCTGGGATCCTCGTATTTCAATCTGGCGTAACGTTAAGGGTTTTTGAGGCGTTCGTTATAATTCCTCCGGAATGAGACGCATGAAGGAGTGTAGTATCGCCCGGAGAGGGCAAAAAGGAGGAAAAGAAAGTGTTGTTCCGTATCTGAGTAAATAAGAACACAAAGAAAACACCAAAAGAAAAATGCAGTTCAGATGTTCCTATATGTCCAATCGACAGTACAAGAATCTGACACCAGAAAGTCCTTAGTGAAAAAAAGTGTTGTTCCGTATCTGAGTAAATAAGAACACAAAGAAAACACCAAAAGAAAAATGCAGTTCAGATGTTCCTATATGTCCAATCGACAGTACAAGAATCTGACACCAGAAAGTCCTTAGGATAGTTTCCGCCTGATCTCAATACAGCTCAGTTACAGCTACGTACGAATATGCAGCTTAGAATTGTACTTTAGGATCATGGTCCGGGACACCTCTTGTCCTCTGAAAGCAGGCGTGAGTACCAAAACATTAGTGTCTAACTCAGAAAACCTGGACAGCCTTCGCTCCGAGTGGCACGCAAAGGTCGTTTTACACGCTGTGTTTCCTGCGTGTCGCGCATTCACACGGGAGAGAACACGCACGAATTCGAATGCGTCCACACACATGTGCCATGAGGGAAACGCAACATGTGACGTAGTAAAAGCGACAGCGCGTTGGCGTTCGAAATCCGGCGGGACCCAGCTCTCAAAGCCTCGCGTTTCGTCTCCAAACGCGAATGCGGACATGGGCGCACGACCGCGTTCCCTTGCAGCTGAATGCACGTGGGCAGCGTGCAGACTTGCATGTCACATCGTTCCAGAATCACGCTAGAAACCCGAAGTGTGAAACGGCCTTCAGTAAATAAATTGGGTCATTGTCATTTGACAGTGATGGGAAGTAACTGAACAAAGATAACGCGTTCTTTACTTAGAATATATTTGTAATTAGAGGCGTAACGAGTAAATGTTTCCATAAATAAATAGTATCTGTAACTAATTCATTTTTTTACGAAAAAGGAACAGAAGTTTTTTTTTAACGAGTGACATTTTTAAATGAAAGAAAGGTGCTCCTTTCTTCTCACTTTCGAGCGACTTCCAGCTTGTCTTTCAAGTTCATTTCAATACAGCAGAAAATTGTTTGCCTTCTTTCGTTGGTCCTAGTCCTGTAGGTAGCCATTTCTGCTAAACAAGCAGATAAAAGCGGAACTGTGCTAAACTCCGCCGTGGCGAACTATTTACAGAGCATTCTTTTTTTTCTTCGTAAACATGCCAGGAAAATCTCTCATTTTCACGTCATTGATGACGTGAAAATGAGAGATTTTCAGCTCAATAATTACATTGAGTTGAACTTCAACGAAGAAGAGAAGTTTGAATGAAACTTTGCATTAGCATTGAGATTTCTTTAAAAGACGCTATTCGCTAATGAAAAACTACTTGTTTTCACGGGGATAGCCCGCTTAACGGGGGCTATCCCCGTGTTTCACACTCAATGGAATTCAATAAGAATTCCATTGAGTGTGAAACTAACAGTGTATATGGGTCTGGTGCCGAAATAAACAGATATGGGTCTGGTGCCGAAGACATGCAGGTAATCGACACGTGTCATCGTCTGTCAAAATTGTCATTCCCATCAGATAACGCGTTCTTCCCATATTACCGCTGGGAACTGAAGCCATCGTGATCGTATCGAGAAAAACGTGCGATCTGAGTAAAAATCAGTTGCAAGTTGGAAAGCACAGTCTGCTTTAGAATGCCTTATGTCTGCGCAGGCGCTATTATCAACGCTCCGAAGCTATACTTCCTTGATTTTCCTGTGGGAGATCCAACGCGATTCTTTCTCTCTTTTAAGCCGAAGAGTTTCGAAGTATTTGAATGATGATAGTCAGTCCATTCTTGTCACTGTTGTCTTTAGTCTCTGGGAAAGTGGTACATGGGAAATCCAAGGGAAGCGAGATGAAGCCGAAGTACAACGATTGGGAAACGGATGATGACGATTCCACCCTTGCTATTTGGCTCCCTCTCCTCCTGCTCGGCTTGATCACGGGGGTGTGTGTTCTCATCTGGTACTGCTGCTGCCGCGCACCAAGAGCCCCGTGAGTCGTCGCTTCCCATTCCTTCGATTACTGCTTTTCAGAGGGACGTGAGATATCGTTTCTTCTTAGACGAACGGTGACGAGAACGGTAATGGTCACACAGGGGAATCCTTACAATCCTGGATATTCTGGCGGACCCTGCACCATCTCGTATCCAGCCCAAGGCAACATTGGTTACACGATGCCCCCTTCGACATTGTATCAGAATCCGGCTCCATATGCTCCTTNATATCTGGGCTTTAGTACCCCCTGGAGTGAGGGATAAGCACGAGGATGCCTTTCATACGGCAGGGATGAACACGACAAAGGTGAGCACGATGGGATGATGGTGACTCCAGACTTCCAGGAAACACGAGAAAATCCATGCTTCAGCATTACTCTTCTCATACAACCACCTGATGCAAATGAGAGCCTGCATGCACTTATTTACGTCGCTGAAGAAGGGGACGAAAACGTTGAGGCGAGGATGCGCGTCCGAGTGGATGTCCGCCTATTTCTCACCCGTCGCACACCCTTCACTTACCCTCATTATTTGCTGTGCGAAGTGAAAGGGGAACTTTTATTCATTCTAAACGAAAGTTTTCGTGATTGGAGTGATTGTTGAAGTGTATTGCTCTGGGATCCTCGTATTTCAATCTGGCGTAACGTTAAGGGTTTTTGAGGCGTTCGTTATAATTCCTCCGGAATGAGACGCATGAAGGAGTGTAGTATCGCCCGGAGAGGGCAAAAAGGAGGAAAAGAAAGTGTTGTTCCGTATCTGAGTAAATAAGAACACAAAGAAAACACCAAAAGAAAAATGCAGTTCAGATGTTCCTATATGTCCAATCGACAGTACAAGAATCTGACACCAGAAAGTCCTTAGGATAGTTTCCGCCTGATCTCAATACAGCTCAGTTACAGCTACGTACGAACGTGCAGCTTAGAATTGTACTGAAGGATCGTGGTCCGGGACACCTCTTGTCCTCTGAAAGCAGGCGTGAGTACCAAAACATTAGTGTCTAACTCAGAAAACCTGGACAGCCTTCGCTCCGAGTGGCACGCAAAGGTCGTTTTACACGCTGTGTTTCCTGCGTGTCGCGCATTCACACGGGAGAGAACACATTGCTTCGGGAGAGAACACGCACGAATTCGAATGCGTCCACACACATGTGCCATGAGGGAAACGCAACATGTGACGTAGTAAAAGCGACAGCGCGTTGGCCTTCGAAATCCGGCGGGACCCAGCTCTCGAAGCCTCGAGTTTCGTCTCCACACGCGAATGCGGACATGGGCGCACGACCGTGTTCCCTTGCAGCTGAATGCACGTGGGCAGCGTGCAGACTCGCATGTCACATCGTGCCAGAATCGTGCCATTGTTTTATGCATGGCACATCGTGCCAGAATCACGCTAGAAACTCGAAGTGTGAAACGGCCTTCAGTAAATAAATTGGGTCATTGTCATTTGATGGGAAGTAACTGAACAAAGATAACGCGTTCTTTACTTAGAATATATTTGTAATTTGAGGCGTAACGAGTAAATGTTTCCATGAATAACTAGTATTGAATTGAATTGAATTGCTTTTTATTTCCATGGATTCTGGTCGTCAGACATCTCGCAAAAATTACAGCCCAAGATAATACAACAAAAACAAAGCAAAGACTATGTACTAGGTCAATGATAAAAAGTCTCTTTTAGACAGAAATACATACAAAAAAGATTTTTGAAACTTGGATGTGTTGGCTTTGGGATGGCTAATACCATTTCTGGTATCTGTAACTAATTCTTTTTTTTACGAAAAAGGAACAGAAGTTTTCTTTTTAACGAGTAACGTTTTTCAATGAAAGAACGGTGCTCCTTTCTTCTCACTATCGAGCGATTTCCAGCTTCCAGCTTTCAAGTTCATTTCAATACAGCAGAAAATAGTTTGCCTTCCGTCGTTGGTCCAATCCTGTTGGTAGCCATTTCTGCAGCCAAACAAGCAGATGGAAGCGGAACTGTGCAAAACTCCGACGTGGCGAACAATTTATGAAGCATTCTTTTTTTTTCGTCGCAAACATGCCAGGAAAATCTCTCATTTTCACGTCATCAATGAATAATTATTGAGCTGAACTTCAAGGAAGAAGAGAGGTTGGAATAAAACTTTGCATTAGCATTGAGATTTCTTTAAAAGACGCTATTCGCTAATGAAAAACTATCTGCTTCCACGGGGATAGCCCGCTTAACGGGGGCAATAAGCAATGCGTGTGAAACTAACAGGAGATATGGGTCTGGTGCCGAAGACCAGCAGTTACTCAACATGCGTCATCGGCACAATCGTCTGTTAAAATCGTCATTCCTATTCGTATATCACCGTTGGGAACTGAAGTCATCATGATCGTATCGAGAAAAACGTGCGATCTAAGTAAATATCAGTTCGCAAGTTGGAAAGCACAGTCTGCTTTAGAATGCCTTATGTCTGCGCAGGTGCTATCATCAACGCTCCTAGGCTATTCGCTTCTTCCTTGATTTTCCTGTGGGAGATCCAACGCGATTCTTTCTCTCTTTTAAGCCGAAGAGTTTCGAAGTATTTGAATGATGACAGTCAGTCTATTCTTGTTACTGTTGTCTTTAGTCTCTGGGAAAGTGGTACATGGGAAATTCAATGGAAACGAGATGAAACCGAAGGACGACAGTTATTATTATGAGGACGATTCCTCCTCCCTTGCTATTTGGCTCCCTCTCCTCCTGCTCGGCTTGATCACGGGGGTGTGTGTTCTCATCTGGTACTGCTGCTGCCGCGCACCAAGAGCCCCGTGAGTCACCGCTTCTTATTCCTTTGGTTACTGCTTTCCAGAGGGACGTGAAAAATCGTTTTTTACTCTTAGACGAACGGTGACGAGAACGGTAATGGTCACCCAGGGGAATCCTTACAATCCTGGATATTCTGGCGGACCCTGCACCATCTCGTATCCAGCCCAAGGCAACATTGGTTACACGATGCCCCCTTCGACATTGTATCAGAATCCGGCTCCATATGCTCCTTCTCCACCGCAGCCATACCTCAATGATCCGCCACCATATAGCGAGGTGACGGGGAAGTGAAATCAAGTATGTAATATGAATGATGCAATAGAAGTTTCTTCAGCCCTAGCTTCCAACTGGAACATGAAACTGTAACCCATGTATCTTTTGACAGATGGGAACATCTTTAACCTGATTTGCTTGATTTCTGTGTCATTTCGTTGTACTCCTGAAGTGCAAGAACAGATGAAGCAGATACTGCGACAGTTCTAAGAATAAAAACTCGTATAGATATGTATTTAGTAACCCTTCCAGCCTTATGGACGTGCACTCTTGGCACAAAGGGCTAGTGATTGATTCCATGAAAGTTTCAGAACTTAAATCTTTTTGATTCCCTCGAGGGAAAGTTTTGAAATCTTTTGATTGTGTCTCACATTAACCATTTTGTGGATTCCAATTTTTCGAGAAGGATTTTGAAGATCCTTCTCGTAGGATATCACACTTCGAAAGGAATAAACGTGAAGCTCTTCAGCTACATGCTTGTATCATATTATATTATGTCCCACGAAGATCATCCCCAGGTTTCTTTCACCTTGGAGGCTTTGCCTTCCTCAAAGTCACTTTTTAACCCTAATCCGGTTGAACTTTCGCGGGCGATTTTCGACGGGCACGCATGGCCGTGGAGAAATTCTCCGGTATTCTGCGTTAAGGAACTTCGAAACGATTTTGCATCGATGCAAAGTGTTCATTACAGAGAATTTTTTTCCAATAACGCATGAGAATATGGGTCAAAATATTAACGGCAGAGGAGCAGTTTACACAGCTCTGAAAATTCGGCAGAATAAGCGTGAATTGGCTGTTCTCGGGAATCATCTTTTTCTTTCAGAGATAAATATGCAACCTAGAGGCCGTAAATTCATAGGGAATAAGTAGGAAGAAGGAAGAAGGAAGAAGGAAGAAGGAAGAAGGAAGAAGGAAGAAGGAAGAAGGAAGAAGGAAGAAGGAAGAAGGAAGAAGGAAGAAGAAGAAAGATCTTTATGAGGAAATTACCTTAATCATCTCATTCGCCATATTCCATTGGAAAAACAGGACTGATTGAACTTAAATTAATTAATTAAACGGCCCAGGTTCATTCGATAACAGTGTTAATTGATCCAATGAGATTTGCGCATATCTCTTCAGGAGAGTTGTTGAATCTTTTCAAAGGGTAAATGCATTTCAGCCACCTGCGAGAGCACCGCGGATTGCGTCAGTAAGCAGAAGGGCAAGAATATGTGCGGCCCGAAAAGAACACAAACAGGAAGCAGCGCGCCCCAATCGAATTCTTGGTGAGGAGGAATGTGGCAGCTATGGACGAGGGGCATTTCTTTTTGCTAGCGGCTCGGCTAGCTCTGCTGAGGCTCCCAGCATCCGATGACGTCATTTTAAGGCTTAGCTGCTCAGCGTTCTTATAGTTCGCTATGTTCCGCTCGCAGTTGCCTGCCCGATAGAGACGTCATTCGATGACATGGTCCTGCCTAGCCAACGCGTCTTTTTTTCCAGCAGCTGCTAGCGGCTGGAGAAAAAGACGCGCCCATCGTGCGCCAGTTTCAGGCGATATACAATGCGTCAGGCCTGCAAAGCAGTAGATAAAGGGGGGTGGAGAAGCAGCAGCCAGGACACAGAAGTTCTGCCGGTCAGCTAGGTCGTTCCGACTATTTTTCGACCGGGGACTGGGTTTTCTTTACCTTTTCGTGCAATCCTCCTCCCCCTCCTAAATCCTCATCGAGGCGTTCCATACTGCATTTCTCTCTTTATCAGATAAAAATTCAGAGATAGATTGGACACTAAACATTCCTCTGATAACAGGGTGTAGCTCGTATATCTCGGTGACACGGTGTTGAAAAAAACAAAAACCCGCCAATTCGTTTTTTAGAAGAATGTTAGTAAATTTCATCCGACTAGCCCAATATTTCACAAACTGCATGTGGATAGATGAAAGAAGATTTCTGCAAATTTTGAACCATACCTACCCAAGGCATCGTGTGCTACACCGATTAAAACTTGAAGGTTAAGAAAATGCACTGGACATCCTTGCCAATGCATCCACATTAGAAGGGATGCTCAGCCGCTGGATGCTCAGCCGCTCAGGATGCTCAGGGACGTTGAGCCTCAGCCGTGCAGCTAGCGAGTGTCCGTACGTGCCATCCAGAACGTTAAAGGAGGTTGGCTTCACTGGCTGAGACGAACGCATCAGCGGTGGTACGTCACACTTTTTTACATATCAAGTTTGAACTGGCATGGAACGTGATACAATGCATACATTTTCTTAAAATTTGGCACATACCTTCTTTCCTCTATCTACATGCAGTTAAAAAAAATTAGGTAGATCTGATAAAATTTACTGTCATTAATAACGAAAATGATTTGGCACATTTTTTCACACCGTGTATATAACTGAATGCATGTTATTGAATGACCCCCCGCTCGGGAGAAACCAATAAGAATTTCCTGAAGGAAGGATAAAAGATAGGAGTCTCATGAGATGACAGGTTGCGAGAGGGGTGACTAATATTTTCTCGGCCTGACTAACTCGAGCCAATGATTTCTCGACTCCCCCCCCCCCCCCCAAATCGTGGGTTATGATTTTCTCTAGAAGTCCTGCGCAGCGTACCTTAGGGTGTCCCACTGAAACAAGGAGAATTTGGACTACTTCACGGTCCGGTTATTCAGAGATAGGCGATACGGGAACGAGATCGATAGGATTTCCATATTCCACCCTTTCTGCGGTAACTCTGGCGAACTGTGCTTGCCAAATCCGAAATTTTCAGGAAGGGTTTTTACATTGGGTTTTTAAGAGAGCTTAATTCCTTACCCTCACCAATGGCCACCGACTATTAATAATGGCTGAGAGTTTCACGTCGAAGAAACATACTGCGTTCGATGCGGAGAGCTACCACACATGAGAACCTCTAAGTCGAGCAGCAATTACTTCGGGTCAAGATGACTCGAGCCCATGAGTTTGGAAAACGTCTCCCGTATGTCCTCCAAGAGATAAAAAAAAGAGCCTCCTAATCCAAAATAACGGCAGAAGACCAGTCAGGAACAAGGACGAGAAACTTTATCGCAAGAGGAACGGTATTCCATCCACCGAGCTGGAGTACGTTGCTCAGTATCAGGGACTCTGGATTCCTCACATGCAAGTCGTGACTCATTAGGCTGGTCATCAGCAGTATCGAAAATGTATGTGGGTATATAAAAGTCATTCCATATGCTGTAGGAAAGGACTCTGATTCCGATGCTTGCCTGACAAAACCTTGCTGATTTCAATATGGTGGATGGTGGATAGCCGCATTCTTTCTGATGAGCATGCAGCGTTAGGTGACTTAAAAATTATGCAGGATATTCTGCTGGGAAAAAAGATCTTTAACGGTGCATAATGGCATGGTAACGTTTGTTTCCTGAGGAAGAAATGAAAGCAGGCTCTCAGATATTCATTTTTCATCTTCTCTTTCTCCCAACGGAATCCCAAGGAGATCAAGGATACAGCCGTTTCCTCTTTCCTGCAGCATAAATACCTTCCTTTTCCAATTGGAAACTCTGAATTTTCCTAATATTCGCTCAGCTACAGAGGAACTGGATATGCAGAGCGTGAGGCAGTGCGAGTACAATGGGAGCAGTGCGAGTACGTGGGTGGTAACTCACTCCAGGACAAGTGCATGGAACAGCCTGGTCATATACCCATAATTCCTTTTTTGAGATACAAAAGGAAGGTCAGCCCGAGTACTTCTCGAGGATACCAGACAGAGGGTTAATTTGAACCGTCTACATCTTCTTACAACGTTAAGTAGCAGGGGAACCCCAGTGAAGGGTATCAACATCATCAGCATCGTCACGAAATCAAAGACCTTCGAGTAGAGTACTATCGTGCAGTCCTGGTTTTTGAATCATAGAATGCCTCGTGAAAAATGCCGCATGAAGGGATACGGAATCAGTATAACCCGCTTACAAAGTCAGAATGCAAGTTTTAAAGAACACGTCAGTTTGCCTCTTGAACGTCTCACCTTTACAATCGCAGCACCTGACCAAAATAAACCTTCCCACCCGAGGTCACAAGAAATCAGATTCCAGGAGGCTCTGGCTTCATAAGAAACGAATGGAGTGTGACCATATCTCTTCAAGAGAGTTGTTTAACCCATCCGGGATAAATCCTGCATAGTTTATGAAGGGAATACATTATTAAGGATAAGAGTGACTGAATTCTATTCGATCGTCAATCCCCCTTCCAACGGTTTGCTTTTACTACTCCTCCCTTACGAGGAATTTGTTTGCTTCTATTTCTCCCTCCTCCGAAACGCAGGGGTTAGGAAAAGAAAGAAGTAATATGAGATGGGAACAACGCCTTAGCACTATTCATTAGCTTTATTCGAGAGAAGGAGACTAAAATTAAAATATTAACTTAGATAGTCTACGACTAATCAATTAATTTTTAAAATACATTAACTAAATTAGAGCTCTTGTAAAAACCCCATTATATTTGTGTAAACATCTCCACTAGAGCTGTGGCACCCTTCATGGACAAATTTGCATCGTAGAGAGCTTAGATTCACGAAGAAAAAACGGGGGAAGTGTTATTAAATCCTCTTCAATGCAGTGACACATTCCCTGGAATAAGAATACAGAAAGAAAAGTTTGAAATTTGGAGGATTTTAACAAAGGAAGATTTTTTCAGTCGGTATACGAGGTGCAAAAGCTGGTTCGTGGTCGACGTACACATACACGGGGCAACAGCTGATAACTCATGCCCTTTGACGTTATGTATATGTTCTCACGGCACATATTGCAACCTCCCGCGTGTGAGTCCACTGTTTGCATAAACAGGAGGAGTGCAATAGCAAGTGTAACTCATTCAAGGACACGGAAATGAAAGCAGAAAGAAAGTCAACGAATTCTTGGTGGAAGCGAACGTGCCAGCGACTGAAATTGTGCTCTGGCTTTGGGCGATATGCGACGAGTCAGTCTTGTAACATAGCTGAGTCGGTGGGCAAATATGTTGCAGCAAAGTCTGGACGATCTGGATTGGAGTGACAGGTGTTGATCGTCTGTGCCCGTGCTGCAGCACCTCCACCACCGATACCCACGCTGTGAAGTGCGAAACCGAAAGGTCATGAATGAGCACTACTTAGGATGCTTTGCATGCATCAGCCTAATCAATCTGCCTAATGCATCATTATATATGAAGCAAATTACATAAGAGAGTGGGTTTCCCGATAGCACCAGTATCCGATTCTTCTTCCCTAAAGCCACCTTGCAATTGAACCAGTGTAAAATGCTTAATTCCACCTTTCGCAACGATTGCCACTTTTGATCTCGATGGATCTAGATCGGTTAGTTGGGATGATGGTGGCAGGTGAGGATCAAGGATGGATCAAGGATGGATCAAGGATAGATCAAGGATGGATCAGGAATGGATCGGTGCGCCCATCGCCTTGGTGCAAATGCGACCACTGAGCAGCGCTGGGACACGCTTATCGGAGGAGTGAAGGGGAGAATGAACT